TGCAGTTAAAGTTTTATTGATATTTCTGCTTCTAACTTCCCAGTCCCAATTACACTGATCTTTCAATTCTTTCTGAACCAGCTAAATCAACAAAAACTAACGTTCCTTTTCCAACCCTAATTATTGTAATACAATGAGACCGAGAAGATTGTGAATTCATCTTTGTTGAACTAGTTTTTCTGAATGCATATCCGTTAATTGTATGAGTCAATGCCTCTTCCCATTGTCTGACACTAATTTCTAACAGTCCATTAAAAATAACAGCTCCACTTATATCAGCTTTAACTTCACATTTTTTTCCTTCATTCATAAGATCATAGAAAGAATCATTATATATTTCAAACATTGATAAACTGACTGATGCTGTTTTTGTTTTCTTTTGAAACAATAACTCTAAACACCGAGGGACTAAACCCGGTTGAGTGATTTTTCTTTCTTTTGCAACATAATTACCTAACTATTATTTATTGATTCTTTATCCAAATATCATAAAAAATAAACAAACCGAATACAGTATATGTTTTACCACTTCCTGTTTGTCCATAAGCAAATAAAGTCGCATTACTTCCATTTAGACAACAAGAGACTAATGAATTTCCAACACGTTGAAACATATCTTTTTGTGGAGAGGTTTCATTTTTAACAAAATCAAAAAAACATTCTTCATTTGGAGAGTTCATTGTTACTGACTCTTTTTCCTCATCAACAGAACAACATCTTTCTGCGACTTCTGTTTTGAAACAAGGTCTAACACGAACTCCAACCTCAATTATTTGATTCATTACTCCTTTTTTCTCTTTTTCAGTTACTAGTTTTATTAATTCTTATTTTTTATTTTTTTTCAGTTTTTAATTGAATGAATCATTTTCTTATTCTAACAAACACAAGTAAGACTCCCCTTGATAAAATACTTTATTATTGAACATTATTTTCTTTCTTAGTTATTTTCTCTTTTGTATTAGTTTCTTTTCATTATAAAAAATGTTCTCCTCATTCAATGAAAAGTATAAAAATAGTTAAGAAGTAGAAAAGAAATGATTAATTGAGAGATTCCAATCCTTTAGAACATTGTGAAGACATTCCTTCTAATGTAAGAATCATTTGAGGAATTTCTTTTACGTCAACTTTTTCAATCCTTACAGAAGAAACATATAAACATTTTTGTTTATGGTCAATATGTCCAGTAAATAATTTCTTTTTCATTGCTGAGATAATGATATTATCAACTTCTGAGATGCTCTTACAATCTAATTTCTTTAATAAAATATCGTAAAACAATACTTTCTTTTCATTTACCATTTGAAGAAGTATTTGTTCCTTTTCACTATTCATACGTCCAATACTCTTTTTTCAGTTTATTTTCTTTGTTTTTAAGTTTTTCTTTGATTTTTGAGGTTTAACAAAATGTTATATAAAACAACAATTTAGTTAAATTTTTTTTGTAAAGAATCTTGTTGTTTCTTCATATCTGATAAGTAATTTTCAAAAGCAAACATGACATAGATATGAGCCATTGTCATTGGGATGTAAGTTAGAATAATGATTGAGGCGATGGTAGGAACACAGAAAAGAATCGATACATCTTTATAAAAATAATAAATGAGATAAAACACTGGTCCTACAGAGAAAAGAAGAGAAGTTATTTTACCAAGTTTATGTAAGGAAGGACGCCAATGTAAAGTGATGAAAGGAATAATAGATGATGTTCCAACACAGATTGCTAAAATTATTGCAAGTGGTTGATTTGCGAAAGCCATCAAACTGAGAACACACATAGATGGTAGCCCACTTAACCCATCTAACATTCGAAGTTGTGCCAATGATTGAGGATAACATTTTGAAAGGATGATTGAAATACAAATGGGTAAAACAGCCAAGCTAATAAGATATATTTGTTGAGGAAGAGTAAATTGGTTGAAATTAATAGTATCTTCAATGGAAATTGTGTTCCAACCAAATAAATATAAATAAGGAATAAAGGAAATAATAGAAAATGTGACAAATAAACACCAAATTTTTAGAGTGGTGATATTTGATATTTCTAATTTATCAGATAGATGAAGATCAGAAACAATGATTAATTCATTTGTAACTCGATCTTTTGGTTTAAAGACATAATACACCAACTGAGGGAAAATACTGAGAAGTAATCCAACAATAACACTTAAAGCGAAAAGAATAGTTAGTGTGATTGAAACACTGAAATTTATATAATGATTAGTATCTAATAAGATATAAAAATATGTAGAGTATTGAAGTTGTTGATATAAGTTATTAAATGATTTTAATAAAGAAGTTACACTTGTTATAAAATCTACATTTTTAAAATGATATTTTACTTGTGTTCTATTTGATTGTGTTTGAATAAGAAGCATGTCAGTATTATGTAATGGTCCTTCTACACCATCACAATATCTAATTAAACTTGAATGTAATAACATTTGTTCTATAGATGAATTAACATATTTAGAACTAATGGATATTTCAACATCATTACCAAATATTCTTTCAATGTTTTTAATATAAGAATTAACCATATCTTGATTAGACATAAAAGGATACGTACCAACAACTAATGACATCTTTGTTGGTCCAGCAACCATTGGCTGAATATCAAATTCAAATCCAGAAATAATTCTACCACATAACGGTTGTTGTTGATACTCATTAAAGAAATCATTAACACCAATATGGGTAGAGTCATCAAGAAAGAGAAACATATAATTTCTTCCAAGGAATTCTTGTAACGAAAGTTTCTCGGCAATAGCAAACAAAGTTCCAAGAGTATTTAACGAATTGGTGACATTCGAATTTAATGGTGATGAGTTATTTTGAGAATATCTTCCCATTAATAAAATACAATTTCTGTCATCAGTTCTTCTTGGTCTTAACACTGCAACAATACCATGAGAATTATATTTGTCATGGTAGTCATGAATTTCAAATCCAAGTCGAGACATGATCAACTTAATAACACCATCCCTTTTCTCTTCTGGTTGTTGAAGGAAAAGAGTATAATCCTTTATTCCTAAATAAGTCTCATTTCCAGGTGAAGTAAAGATTTGACCAGAGTGGAGATTGTTATCATCGACAAATGTAGTTTGTGAAATAACGTCTAAATTATTTAACATTATCAATGCCCCAATAAAAATAACAACAACAAAAAGTGCTGCTCGTTTTCTAGAAAAGAAAGAAACTGGGTCACTTGAAAGATCCATTTATTATATATTTAAGAGTTTTTTTCATTTAATGAATACAGTTATATTAAAAACTATCATAAACAATTATATTTTCAACACAAAAAGAATAACATAATTAAAAAAAATGTTATTTTTTATGATAAAAGAATAATAAACCCTAGAAATTAAGAACACTTGATAAATCATATTGAATATGGAGGAAAAACGACCCCATAAAGTCTCTAAGGCTGGAGTCAGTGCACAGAAGAAGAAAGAAAAAAAATTAGCAAAAATGACGGAAGGAGAAAAAAAGAAAGCACAAAGGAATAATCCAAAGGCGTTTGTTGCACAAACAAGAGTTGCTGCTAAACAACATTATCAATATACTCAAACAAGAATACAAGAAAAGTTACATGTTCCTATTGTAGATCGTAGTGTTGAAGATCCACCACCTACAGTTATTGTTATTTGTGGACCTCCAGGATGTGGTAAAACAACATTCATTCAAGCATTAGTAAAGACTTATACAAAACAAAATTTAAAAGATGTCAATGGACCAATTACTCTTATTACAGGAAAACATCATAGAATTACTCTTATTGAATGTCCAAATGATTTAAATGGAATGTTAGACTGTGCAAAAATAGCAGATGTAGCAGTAATGTTAATAGATGCAAGTTATGGGTTTGAAATGAACACATTTGAATTTATTGGAATGTTACAGGCACAAGGATTTCCAAAAGTAATTGGGTGTTTAACCCATTTAGATAAAGTAAAGAATAATAAATTAGCAAAAAAAGCAAAAAAAACTTTAAAAAAAAGGTTTTGGAGAGAAACTTATGCAGGAGCAAAATTATTTAATCTTAGTGGTATTACTCATGGGAGTTATCCAAAACCTGAAATTAAAATTATTGCTAGGCATCTTGCTGTTATTAAAACAAGACCAATTATTTGGAGAAGTAATCATAGCTATTTAGTTGCCGATCGTGTTGAAGATTTAACTGAACCCCAAGACATTGCAGAAGACCCTGATGTAGATAGAACCGTTGCTTTGTACGGTTATGTTCGTGGTACTAATATGAGACCTAATGCTAAAGTATGTATTCCTGGACTTGGAGACTACCGAATTAAAGAGATAGAGCAACAACCTGATCCATGTCCTTTTGGTGACGAAGCTAAAAGACTCAAAGCAAGAACACAAACTGTTTTTGCACCGATGTGTGATGTTGGTGGTATGAGGTATGACAAAGATGCTGTTTATGTTACCATGCCAACTTCACTACAAAATGAAAGAGAAGATCAAAGCACTGTTAAAGAATTAGTACAGTCAACTGGTGGAATTACTGCACAATTAAATCAAAGTATTAACATTATAGAAGGAAAGGCAAGAAGACCTGTTGAATTTAAAGATGAGGTTGATGATGGTGATGATTCCAGTAATGATGATAGTCAAGAGAAAAATGATATGAGTGAAGAAAATGAAGAAGAAATTCCTATAAAAAATATGGAAGAAGAAAAAGAAGAGGCTGGTGAAATTGAATATGCTGAAGAAGGGTTGGATGCTGAAGATGAAAAAAAGAAATGGGGAATGATAAAATTGAAGAAAAGAAGAGATTTAATGAAGGAAATTTATGAAGAAGTTTCTGTTAAAGAAGAAGAAAATGATGACGATGACGACTTACTTAAACCTGTAGCAGAACATAGTAATAACGAATTGGATTTAGAAGATAATAGTAAGGTATATTGGGAAGATAATGTATTAGATAGTTTAATAAAGAATGAAATCGATGAAAATATTGCAAAACATTTTGTTAGTAAATCTATGAGAATAGTTGATGATATGATAGTTGATATGGATGTTAAAGAAGAAATGAGTGAAAATGATGACCATTTAGATGATTTAATTAAAATTGAAAACGGTGAAGTTAAAATTCAAGATGAAAGTAAGAAAAAAGTATCTAAAGAGAAGAAAGGACAACAAGGAGATGAAGAAGAAACAAATACTAATCCATTCTGGGATCATGAAGAAACATATATGCAAAAAGTTCAAAAACAAATGCAAGAACAAAACAAAATGAATCATGAAGCATTTGCTGAATTAGATAATGCCACAAGAATTCAAGTTGAAGGTGCAATTGCAGGAACCTATGTTAGAATTGTAATAGAAAATGTTCCTGCTGGGTTTATTAGACAATTTAATCCAAAGAGAATTTTATTAGTTGGAGGGGTTTTAAGATCAGAAGAACAATTAACAGTAATGCAGGCATTAGTTTTAAAACATAGGTGGTTCCCTAAATTAGTTAAATCAAAAGAACCTATTGTTGTTAGTGTAGGATGGAGAAGGTACCAAACAATTGCAACCTTTTCAATGGAAGATCTTAAAGGAAAACAAAGGATGTTAAAATACACACCTAAAGGAGTATTTTGTTTGATGACTTTTTATGGTCCAGCATGTCCAAGTAATTCAGGTATTATTGCTTTTGAAACAGGAGAAGAAACTCCATATTACCGACCTTGTTTAACAGGAAATATTTCTAACGTAGATAAGGCATGTGAAATTTATAAAAAATTAAAGTTAGTTGGACAACCAAAAGAAATTAAAAAGAATACGTCCTTTATTAAAGGAATGTTTAATAGTAGAATCGAAGTCTCTAAATTTATTGGAGCAAAGTTACAAACAGTAAGTGGTATTCGAGGTCAAATAAAAAAAGCAGTTCCTAAAGACCCAGGTGTTTTTAGAGCAACATTTGAAAGTAAATTAGTACCAAGTGATATTGTGTTCTTAAAGGGTTGGATTCCCGTTAAAATAAATAAGTTTTACAACCCAATGACTGATTTGACAGGATATGAATGGGACAGAATGAGATTATCAAGGGAACTTAGAAAAGACCATAACTTAGAATTACCAAAGACTAAAGACTCTTCTAAATATAAACAATCATCTAAGCCAAAACTTAACGAAAACCATGAACAAAAATTGGAAAGACTTGAAAGAGAAAAAAAGAAGTTATTTGAAGAAGCAGAAAATTCATATCACGTCACTAAGAAAATTATGAGATCCTTACCATTTGAAGAACAACTAAAAATTATGGAGGAAGGACCAAAACTTAAGAAATATGAACCTAAGAAAGCAAATTGATTGTTTTGAATTGTGTTATTTTGTTTTTCAAATAAGAAATATAACAGAAAATATTTTTGTTCATTAAAACTAAAGGATAAGATTTTTTTCAATGCTCATGGCATGTACCAGTAATTTTTCTTGTCTTTGCTATCAAACAATGTCTTTGACTCTTGTAAAGAAAACCAAACAACACAAACGTTCAGTGACTATAAGAAGAATGAACTTCAATAATAATAAAACTTATAATAAGAAGGGTAAAAGAAATACCAAGAAAAAGTGATAAAAAAAAAGAATGGTACAAAGATAAGTGAGTAAAGAAAAGTATGAGTAAATATAAAGATAATACAGATAACATCAATAAGAATCAGAGAATAATAACACAGAATGATTTGAATTGAAAATAAGAAAATAATTTATAAATTGAAAAAGGAGAATATAAAAAAATAAATAAGAAAAGAAATAGAGATAAATCAAAAAAAGAATGAATCAAAGATGTAAAAGTGGAAGAAAGTAAAGAAGAAATTATCAAACAGCAGCGACATCAAGAAATTAGAAGATATTGAAGGTTTAAAAAGAAGAAAGAGATAATCAAAACAAACACTAAATAATAATAAGATGAAATAATAACAGCAAGAACAAGAAAAAAAGATAAATAGTAACAACAAGAACTAACAATACAAAACAATGCATTGAATACATTACAACTCAATCAAATATAAAGTTGATTTAAATCTTGAATCAACTCATAACAGAACAAGAAAATGATGATATTATTAATTATTAAAATAATATTTAGAAGCATATGTATTTAAAGATATATTAAAGAATCCACCACAACCATCATTTTCAAATAATTGTTATGAGAAAGTGGATATTGATGAACAACTAAATAAAATAAATACAAAAACAATAAGCATGTATGATTTCTATTCTCAAATTAAAAAACTTATTAATTCAACAAGAGATCTTCACTTAAAATTTATTGTTAATGAAAATCTTTATAAACTAAATGCTGAATTAGTTTATTTCAATTATTTCATTCCATTTCCAATACCAATTGATAAAAATAAGAAAATGTATTTATTTCCAAGAAACGGTGTTAGTGAGTTTCCAATTAATGAAGTAAAAGAAATAGTTGATAATCAGAACATACCAGTTAAAACAATAAACAGAGAAGATCCATTTAATATTATTTGTGAATTTAGAAAGAAATATATGGGACTAGAATGTCCACATACACAATTTACAGATAGTAAATCAAGAATTACATTTGGAACATTTGATAGTTTACCATTATCAAAAGAACGTTTAAACACACCAATAGGTATTATGGGAAAACGAAGAAAGTGTAATATTTAATTATCTTATAATTAAATTAAACGAATCAGAGTGTTCAAGGAGGTATTGAAAGAAGTAATAGAAGGGGAATAAGAGATGGATTAAGAATAGAAGATTTAGAAGAAACAAAAGAAACAAGAACATTACAAAATGAAAATGATGAGTATCAACACATTGTTCTTCTAAAAAAGAAGTATGTTGTTTAACAACAAATAACAAAATAAACACATTAATTGTAAATAATATTCATGTTGAAAATGACGATGAGAGGAATGACTTCAAGAAGAAAGTAAATGAATATGTTGATTTATTTGATTCAAATGAATATCCAATTCAATTGATATTCTCAAAGAATGGAGGGTATTCATCAGACTTTCACACATTATTGAGAAAATGATATCATCAATGATGATACCAATTATATTGGATCAGTATGAGTATCAGATTTTATAGAAGATATAATGAAAATAGATGGGAACCAAAATAAGCAAAGAAATAATGAATAAATAAAAAACACAAAAAAGAAAAGGGCAAAATATTTTGAATAATAAAATAATAGTTTTTATTATTTTGTTCTTAATAAAAATAAAAAATAAAAAAGTAAATTAAATACAGATTCTATATTCATTTATATCTGATTATATTTTATATCATTTTATGCTAAATTGTTCTGAAATATAAATGATTCAGAAATGATATTTGATTCAATGTAAGTATACATTTTTATTATTATGTTATTTTATTATTATGTTATTTATGTATTTTATTTTTATATATTTATATTTTATTATTATATTTATTTCTATTATTGTATTATATATATCATCATATTATCTATATATTTTATATTTATCTTATTTTATTAGTTTGATATTCTTATTATTTATATTTTATTTTATATATGAATATATTTCTATTTATATATATTTTCTTATATATGAATACATTTCTTTATCTTATTTTCTTTTTGATTATA